TTACGTTTTCCACGCTCTTCTCCTCCGGGCTTCCAATCGGCTACTTATCTGCACGCTCGATCGGCCAAGATTCCTTCTTAATTCCCATTTACGCTACTGCGACTCGGATTAGGGTGGAAGTGGCCGGCTTTTATGAGCTCCGGCGTTACCTTTTATCTGTAATTCGCGAGTTGAACGAGCTCGTTTACAACACACGCGTATGCATATCGCACACACGCGTGTACACACGAAGTGTCAGTATACACTTTGTATTTTGCGATGGAGAGAATTTAAGATAAGGTATAAAAGCACTTTGTGTTTTATCCTTTTTCTTCGTTAGAAAGAAAGCGCGGTGAATGAAAATTAACTCTTCTATTATCAGAAAATAATGAAATTACAACGGATTGTTTAAAATATTGTTTAAAATACATTTATATTAATTTAAGATATTTTCACGTCAGATTGAGTTTCTTTGAATATATAATGATTAATTAAAAGGACTGCATTTGTTCTCTTTGACTATCTTATTTATTATACTAATTGTTAAAATAAATTTTGCATTTATCTTTTGTAAGTAAAAGTTTTACATGAAAATTGTAGAATATTTTTTACATTATTAATGATTATTCATAAAAAAGTTGGTAGTAGAGAGCAAAAAAGTAAAAAGGTGGTAGGAAAAGTTAGAAGTGTTCGTCTATTGAAGAAAAATATGCCGTAGATTAGTTTTGAAATTATTACATTCAAACTCCATAACTTCATCCCAGATATCCCAGTCTTGAAATTTTTTGCAGATATCTTGGCTGTTCGGCTACAAACAAACTCAGATTTGCAAATAGAAAGAGATTGAACAAAAATTGTTTCGAGACAGGTCGAACAAGGTAAACAAGGTAACTTGGCTAACCTTTGCAGTAGATAGCGGATTGAATACTCAGACGCGAGACATCCCGGGTAGAATTTTGTCGAGGCGTGCCCCAAGTCTGTAAAGGGCCTAAACAGGCATGCCCTAAAATAGGATCGCCAATATTGGGGCTAGATAGGCATGTCGTAAAATAGGCATACTATTGTCGGGCCTAGAAAGGGATTAGAAAGGCAAATTCTGGATAGAATAACCTAAATAGGCCTATAATAGGCACTGACATGGATGCCATTATCAAGGTCTGCAAACGTTGGGCCTAAAAAGGGACTAAAAAGGCAAATTTTGGATAGAATTTTCTTAATAGGCCTAGAATAGGCACTGGCATGGATGCCACTATCAAGGTCTGCTAACGTTGGACCTAGAAAGGGACTAGAAAGGCAAATTCTGGATAGAATTTCCTTAATAGGCCTAGAATGACATGGATGTCACTATCAAGGTCTGCTAACGTTGGACCTAGAAAGGGACTAGAAAGGCAAATTCTGGATAGAATTTTCTTAATAGGCCCAGAATAGGCACTGACATGGATGTCACTATCAAGGTCTGCAAACGTTGGGCCTAGAAAGGGACTAGAAAAGCAAATTCTGGATAGAATTTCTTTAATGGGCCTAGAATAGGCACTGGCATGGATGCCACAATCAAGGTCTGCTAACGTTGGGCTTAGATTGGTATGCCCTAAAATAGGTCTACCATTGTTGGGCCTAGAAAGGGCCTAAAAAGGAATTTTCTAAACAGGCACTAACATGAAAGCCTACGATTGTTGCCGTGAAATTATAGTTTTTACAATTTTTTTACATAAAATTTATTTCTTTTATTATCATGAAATAATTCATTGATTTAATTATTATGTTTCTTAAGATGATTTTTAAAAAATTATATATTTGCACTGGTTACGACATATGTAGACTATATATAACACTTACATCAAATTAAGAAGTAGTCTACCACGTAAGGCAGTTGGCTCACGATTCAGAGGTCCCGAGTTCGAATCCCACTAAGGTAAAGTGTTGTTTTTCAAATACGAGGAAATATTTATAATTATAGACTGCATCTTAAGAAACAAATTTAGTTATAAAATAGTAATAAAATTTCGAAAAAAAAATAGTTTTTTTAAATGTAAATATCATATAAGGATTACTGGGAAGTTGGTGTCTAGATAGGGCCTAGTTAGGCGTGCTAGAATAGAGCCTAGTCAGATATACAAATCAGGCTCTGACTTACACAAGCGTTACATCTCTGTGCAGGTCCTAAACAGGCTTTCTTGATAGGGCCTAGACAGAAATGGTGAAAAACTGTCTACAGCCTTTACAGGCCCTCTTTTAAAATTCTACCCGGGATGTTTGTCACGTGGAAAATCTCCGCAAGATTTCGCCTTACGATTAACACTCCCTGAAAAAAAGATAAATAACTGTCTGAAGAGGGAAACAAATCAAAATTATAGATTTTAATTTTATATGATTTAATATATTGCAGCAAGAGAAAAAAATTAAGATTATAAACAATTAAATGTATTTATATATATGTATTAAAAAATATTAAATTTCAAGATCAATTAACTGATTACATTTTAAATTTATTTTAGGCGATTTATAATTTGTGTGAAATTAAATTCAGGGTAGAGTTTCCCTTATGATCTTAGGTGCTGTATAACACCAAAAATATTTGAAGAAAGAAATATAATATACATTGATATATGTTATAAAATTTATATATGTATCAAAATGCATGATATGTGAAATTTTAAAATAGAATTCTGTCTTAAAGTCTGATGCGAATTATAGATAATTGTGTAAAATGGGCTTACCTGTTGTTTATAGGATTGATTTTAATTCCGATTCGTGAGAAATAAGATAATGACGAGATGTATAGATATAACGCTAGACCGTAGTACATGTGTCAGGCACACAGCACGTAGGTGCTACCATCATTATGGATGACATTAGCTGCACCGTCCGTGGCATTAATGAATTAATCCAGATAATATCACCATTATATGGGCTCATCGCATATGATTTAATTAGCCTGGTACATTGCCGACAAATAATGATAGTTACATCGATTACTTCTAGCTTAATAATTTCGTAGTGTCGAATGAACGCTCACTCTTTAGTTTATTACTTTTATGCTAGATTACACGAGTTTTCTCTTTAAAAACAAATTTTCTTTAATTTCCTTAAATTAATCTTATATAGATTTACCTATATTTAATAATTAAATTTAGAATTAAAGTATTTTGACTGCATCAAAATTTTGCATTATTTGCTTGAGTTTGGTTGTGTAAAATTTAATTAATTGAATATTACGAGAATAATAATGGATATAATAATTTGCAAAAATAAGTTGCAAGAATGATGAAAATTTAGTATTCAGGTTTCGTGCAAGGTCCTTAACTTGTAACGAGTTTTAACAATCATATATAATACCGATATTAAACAGCTGTTAAATGTCGAATAAATGTTGTACCACTTTAGAACAATTTATCGCACGTCTCATATTGTTTCGATAAGAAATTACTGTTACATAATTAGAGAATAATGGACGAGCTACTATTCACAAGCATTTTATCTATGGATAATTAATGATTATTTAATTATCTATAATAGATAATAATTAATTAAAAAGTATACATTGTTTTAGAACTGTCAAAATTTTATATTATGCACAAGTGTGGAAATTTATATCTCTTTTAATAACGCGTTTATTTTTATCTATATATTAAATTTAAATATATTAAATTTAAAAATAACTGCAAAAAGTTGTTCCAAAATAATTTTGCAATGAGTTTATCAGAGCATATATTATATTAATGTTAGATATTTGAAATGTATATAATAATAAAAATATATTAATATATGTATGTATACTGCTTAATAAAATAAATAATTTAAATACGTAATAAGAAATGTCTAACGAGGAGACTTACGGAAGTGTAACTCACCGATTTTAATGAAACTTGGCATACTTGTAGAAAATCGAAAAATAATCGACACGTATTTTTTTATTTCGGCAATGGTGCGAGTTTAAGGAGAGGTAACCGTTCAGAGACCCAAAAAATGCATGACTTTCAGGAATTTTTTTTTATATAAAATAAATGAATTTGAAAAAAACTTTTAAGGGGTTTTATTCTTGTACTGTTACATAAGAAATTATTATTTTTTCATGTCAAAATACCGGCTCTTGCTTCCACGCCATGAAGCCACAAACGACGTGAGTTTATGCGCGCGAAGCGCTCCACAGCCTTGCCAGCTAATCTGAAACAAAAAACACAAAAAATTTATTAAACTAGACTAAATTTGGGGGGCCTTATGGTTTTCCGATTTTTAAAAAACCCCCGGAAAACAAAATGGCAGCTATTTGAAAAAAAAAACCCCATTTAACGGAAACAATGGTTTTTTTTAATGGCTGCCATTTTGTTTTCCGAAGGTTTTTTAAAAATTGGAAAGCCATAAAGCCCCCCAAATTTAGTTTAGTTTAATAAATTTTTTGTATGGAGCGCTTCGCGCGCATAAACTCACGTCGTTTGTGTCTTCATGGCGTGGAAGCAAGAGCCGTTATTTTGACATAAAAAAATAATAATTTTTTATGTAACAGTACAAAAATAAAACCCCTTAAAAGTTTTTTTCAAATTCATTTATTTCATATAAAAAAAAATTCCTAAAATTCATGCATTTTTTGGGCCTCTGAACGGTTACCTCCTCTTAAACTCGCACCATTGCCGAAATAAAAAAATACGTGTCGATTATTTTTTGATGTTTTACAGGTATGCCAAGTTTCATTAAAATCGGTGAGTTACACTTCCGTAAGTCTCCTCGTAAGAAACATTTATTGTTAAAAAAATATTAAAATAGAAAATATGAATATATTTTTACGACTATATCTTAGGGAAATTGAGTTAAATAAAATTTATTATAGCTTTATTTCTGTACATTTATTCAAACATTTATGAAATATTTAGCCATTGAATAATGTGAGCATTTACATGAAGAGAGAGAATTAATAATAATTAAAACGCAATAATAAACGATTAATTTGAATAAGAATGAAATGGTGAATGAATAATTATATCTATACATAATGATTTGCTTAGTCATATTGAATATAAATTCATATTAAATGTATGACGTACCTACAATTAATATTTAACAATGTAGAAATTTAGCAAATTTGAGTTGTTTTTTTGAATTTATCTTTGCGTACCCCAACGTTTAAATAATTTTTTTTACACAATATACAATTAGTATAATCCCGCGCTATATTAATTGCAGTATGTGTATATTTTAATACTGCAATTAGAATAAATTATAAAAAAATATTTAAAAAAGTTATTTTTGAGGCTTTTAAATTATAAATTGAAATAACACGTAAAAAATGCAACGCTATTTTAACATTACGCGAGTAGTTTATTCTTTATTTTGTTGATTTACAACTTTTCTCTATTTACAATGCTTGACGTGTAATTCCTTAGAAGCAATTTTGCATTAAGGGACGCACATCCGCGGAAGGACTAATCTTCGAAATTGAGTTTTTTATCCCTTTATATAAAGCTCTTTTCCGCTGGATATTCTTTTATTCATCATGCTTATCTGTTCATTGTACTTTGTGCTCTTATTATAAAAAGCGATCCCAGTGCGTCCGCCGTAGATTCTTTGTACAACAATTACGATTTATTTGTAATTTCTAAAAAAGAAGACTATTATTATGTTGTCAGGATTCTAACGAGTTTTTTTCTACGTGATTAATTAATATGATGCATTATCATAATTTGCTTCAAATCCAAAGATACTGCAGCTTATCAAATTTATTTCATTGTGTCGATCGTATTATCGAATAGCTCTTTCAGAAGTCAAGGAAAAAAACCATTTCTTTTCAAAGTTACCATTCTTTGTTTGTAACAATTTGCGCGTTTTCTAATTGATTCGTATTTTAAATACAAATTTTATAAAGCTATATAAAGCTATGTAGAGCTACTTTGCACTTGGTTTAAGTTTCAGTTTTAGAGCCATTACACGAGGTTTCTGCAACAATGCGCGCGTAAATAAATGCTCGTATAGTAGACAGCAAACTATTTGCTTAAACTCGAAATTCCAGCAGCAGCGGTTCGTAATGGCGAGTTCTTGAACGCATGACGTAGCGGGTTAAATGCGGATTCGCAGCAAAGAGCAGATCTTTCTTATAGCACCGATAACGTATCACGTCGCAGCCGCATAGTCGATATCCATTTAATTAAGCTACTATATGGTGCTCGCGTTTATTTCGTCGCAACGCGGTAAGTAGCCAGTTCTTGAATTTCGTCATGAGCTCGAAAAAGTTAATTAAAACGAACAAATGAATGAATGAAAAACAAATTCAAAAATGGATCGACGGTCACGTGATCAGCAAATTTGAAAAAATTATGAGGTTAAGCTAACCGCTGCGGTGTTTCGCGTTTTGATTCAAGAGAAATAAACGCTTTTACCCGCGTTACGTTATGTGCAATCTCGATTTGTCAATTGTTTGGGAGATAATATTCAATATTTTAAAAAATTTAATTTTTTTTTCAAAAAAATAGTAAGTTTGACTGTAAATGCAATCAACTTTTATGTTACAGGTATCTTTTATTTTAAAATAAAATATTTTGTCAAAAATTTGAAAGTAATATAAATAAAGTAATATCGTATAATTATAATAATAATGTATAATTATCTATTACGTGAATTTCCTATTTTAATATAGAATTAGAATATGGAATTAGAATGTGGAATTCATTTACATTTAGCTGTGATAAATGCAACTATCTTGCATGTTTCGAATACTGCATATATGTAATAGTTTAATTTGTTATCGCGGATTAACATTTTCTGAAGAAAGTGGTTTACAAAGTTCTAGATATATTTCTGAAATTTCTATGCAATTATTCATGGAACCTTTTGCTGAGCTTTCGTCTCGAGCGTATTAATCATTTTTAAAATTTTCTACGGTTGGAATGCGCCTATCCGGATTTTCTCAAGCTTTTTCTCACGTATATTATACTTTGCAACGCTGTTTGAATTTCGATCTCCTTTACAAAAAGATAAAATTGTATATATAAAAAATATAAATAATGAAAACATTTGACGATTTAATATTCTTAAAAGTAAGAGTTTGGGGTGTGTTGTATTATGAAAAGGCTTTTTAGCTTGATTAATATTTTTATTAGAATGTTTGATCTTTTGTTATCCCACTGACAGTTTATATTTTAAAAATATATGAGTTAATTATTAATTAATGATAAATTATAATTCAGAAAGATTTAATCTTTAAAGGTGCCTTTTCACGTTAACGCTCGACGCTCATTTTTAGCAAGTAAAAATCTTCAGAAATAATATCTTTTATTTATATATATATCCATAAAATATTATTACTTGAAGATATTACTTGAAAATAATTAATATTTTACGTATTTTAAAGTCTATGTTTGATTGTACTGGGACGATTAACGACGATTCAGCGACGACGCTGAATATTAAACAAATTCAACTTCATTTCTTTGACGCTAGCGTCAAAGCGAAACCACCACGTTCACCTTGTTGACGCTCATTTTCAGCGTCTCATGAATTGGCACCTTAACGCGTTTACTTCTAAAAAATTGTTCAGATGATGCTATCGCAAAACAAATGTTCCGAATATAATCTGAGCCAGAATGTTGAAATTCCTTTCATATCTCGACATTGTAACAGTTATAAGCGTTTTGACAGCATCTCTGATCGCGTTGGAAACTACCAGCTTGAAATTTTAATGAATTATGGATGCTGGAAGTGCCAGGGGGCAGATAAAGTAAATTTTATTATTGAGTAACTGATCAAATATCGTATATATTTTCTACAAACAAAAAGTTAAATTAGAAGCGTAAAATATGAGTATTGACAACGCGTTTTCAATTTCACAAATATCGGGATTGAGTAAACAATTGTAATAAAATATAAAGTGTATTCTTACAACATTGTTATATTTTATTGATTTTTTCTTCATAAACAACATTATTTAATTTTACTTTATAATGTGCTGCAGTATAAGATAATGCAAAACAAAAATATACTTCTTATAGGTATTATTTTCTGTCATTTACATTTCAAAATTTGAAAAAAACCGGGAGAAGGGGAGGAGAGAGAGAGAGAGAGAGAGAGAGAGAGAGAGAGAAAGAGAGAGGAAGATAAAATTACACCTTGTATAACTCATTGAAGAAAACCCTTGAGAGGTTACAAATTTTTTCAAACTCTGCTGTATTCAATTAATCAAAAAAACAAAAATGTAATATCAGATTCTTCAAAAATTACTTTGAATTTTATAGAATAATCCTTTTCTAAAAAGGAGATGTGAAGTTTATTGTTGCCGCTTTTCCGCGATGCCGATTGGTTTTCTTGCTGCGCTTACTTCATTTGCAGCTGTCATTGTATATTTTGACAGTTGTGTATAATAGGGTTAATAGTGAAATGTTAAAGATAAATAGCGCGCGCGTAGCGCGCGTCTGTAGTGTCTAGTTAAAAGTAAAAATAAGATAGTAAATATTAAATTGTAAATAATTAAAAATTTATTTTTTGCTAATTATTAAATTTTAATTTTTTTACAATTGTGAAAAATTTCTTCGACTAATTATTAATTTTTAAAATAATTATAAACTTTTTTTATCCATTATTTATTATTTAAGAAAAAAAATTTTTGTTTTTTTAATTAAAGATTTTTAAAAAATTTACATTTTATTAATTAATACTTATTTTTTTTTTAAATTAACAATGTCTTTTTGATAATTATTAATTTTTTTAAAAATTAGTAACATTTTTTGGCTTATTATTAACTTTGACAACATTTGAATAGGGGAGACCGGCGCTCGTTGGCACAGTTTTCACAATTTCGGCATTTTAGTTCTTAAACAACTAATTTTCATGATTAAACAGTACATACTAATATGATAGAGAGAACCTTTCTCTACATTTTCATGCCAGGAACGCTCCTGTATACCGTATAATTTCCTTGTAATAAATGAAATACAAACATGCTGCATTGTGGTCAACTTGCCCCGATAGTAGGGTAAGTTGGCTATGCGACAAAAGTCCATGTTAAATTAACTAAAACGTAATAAAAACACCAAACGAGTAACAGATATGTACTTAACCTGATAAAAATTGCATCTTTTAAAGTTATTTTGTAATGATCAATAAATAGCAAAATGCTGTTGCAGAAAAACAATTGTAAACTATTTTAGATGTAGCTTTCTTCAATATAAAAATATTAATATAAATAATGTATCTAGCTTCTATTATATATTAGCATTGTAGGTATATAGCAAATCACATACCCACACAGGTCTCACGCGCGCCGCAACAAGTCAAGCGTGCCTTGATATGAGCCAACATACCCCATCCCTACATACGTTGGATTTCAGTCATTTTATTACAATAAATTACTGTTGTTCCTCAAAATAACATGTCGTATAGTAACAGAACCTTTTCTTTTAACTAATAATACGTCACTTTGATTTACTTCTCAAGCTGAAGAACATTAATACGATGTTATATAAAAAGTATGTTATATATAAAAGAGATATTTTATGACAACTTTTCCACTGTTTTTTTCGCTATAAATAAACGGAACGCATTCCCAACTTTCCCTTTGTGCCAATGAGCCCCGGTTTTCCATAATAAATAAGCGGATAATTTTCAATTCTTTATTACTTAATAATAATAATAATTGAAAGCATTGCCAAAAATAGCATTTTTGCCGAACCGTGTTCAGAATATAAGATAATAATTATTTTTATTTTATATGTTAATTATTTTTTATTAGATGGACAAAGTTGCGAGCTAAGCTAACGCGATTAATCAAGACGGTAACATCGAGAATTTATTTTTGTATATCCAAGATTCAATCTTTTTGTCAAAAGCTGATTTAAATAATAAACGTAGTTTATTGTAATAAGGAAAATAAAATTTAGAAACTTATGCAGATATATTTATGTTACGTACAATAAATTACATTACTACGATTAATTACATACGGTATCTTGTATATAAAAGTATATTGTTTATTTTCACAAATTTAAACATGCTTTAATGATTTAACGGGAATTGTTGTCATGCATCATTGGTGAACCGAGCTACGTTCAATCGCGGGTTCTGCAAATCACATACGAAATAGCAATTCTTAGAAATTGTTTTATATCAAATGCGTGATATAAAAATTTGTTTTCACCATATTTATTCCGTAATTATATCAATATTTTCTAAGCTTTATTTCTTTATAGTAAATAAGTTATTTTATATTACAGTTATGACTTACATAGGTACACAATAAATGTCATAACAAATTGTTTCTTTAAAAATCTATATTTTTAGGAGTGTTAATATATAGTTGATAAATTAATTAAATGTACTACAAATTACAAATTAACTTATTGCATTAAAACTGATTATGTTGCACTGAACAATAAAACGGCATGTAACATGCTACCTGCCAGCTCGAGCCACGACGCCCTAATAATTGCAATGTACTTTTGATATAACAAATTGCCCGACGAATAAGCAGACTCAAGGACTGATCATTTGCGGTCAATAAACTTCTAACACTTTGTAAAATAATTTTAATCCAACATATTCTCTACTTTTGAATTGAAAATTATACGTGCGATATGCGCTGCGTTCCGTGAACTAGATTTGACGATAGTATATGTTATCGTGAACTCGGAATTTTTAATTAATTAGCGAGTTACACTCGCCTTCAGCTCACGCGTCCACTCCGCACTCGTGTCCAATTCTCAACATCCCGCACTTGTTACACAAATAACTATTACCTTACATGTTAATTAGTTTTTATTAAATAAACAAAATTCGAGTTATGCTAACGCGATTGATGAAGAGATAACATACATTTATGTATATCTACAATTCGATCTCTTTATCAAGGTCTGATCTCAGTAATATGTAGTAATAATCCATTATGTAAGGAAGATAAAATTTAGAAACTTATGTAGATATTACACAAAATTACACTACTACGATTATTTATATGATATTTTGTATATAAAAGGTATATTGTTTATTTTGACAAATTTAAACATGCTTTGATGATCCAACAGGAATTGTCGTCATGCATTACTGCGAATCGAGCTACGTTCAATCGCGAGTTCTGCAAATAACAAACGAAATAAATAATTTTTTAGAAATTGTTTTATATCAAATGGGTGGTATAGAAATTTGTTTTCATCATATTTATTCCATAAATAATTCAATATTTCCTAAACGTTATACCTTTTTAGTAAATAAGTTATTTTATATTGCAGTTACTAATGACTTACCTTGTAAAAAAGAACATTAAAAGGTTAGACAACCTTGACAAGAGCAAAAAATAAACCTTTTTTGAAGTTAAATATTTAAAAAATAAAAAACTGAGTATTTAAAACATTGGCACATAATTCTATATTCTTTTATGGTTACTTAAAAAAAATTATTAAAACTATTAATAATAACGGGAGTTATTGGTAGTAAAGGGAAGCAGTTCTTCTGGAATAACCAAAAATAATGTAAGACAAAATAACAAATGGATTTATAATCTAGAAAAGTGTCTAAAATGTATTAAAAGCAACATTTGAAAAAAATTTTTTTTTAATTTTATTGAAGAAAAAATGTAATTTTGCATTTTTCTTGTAATTATAATACTTTTTATTTTTTCAAAGAATTTTTTTTCAAATTCTGTTTTTGACACATTTCAGATATTGGTTTCAACATGTAAAAATTTTTGAAAGAAACTGTTTGAGCCGTTTTTGAGATTTTATGAGCACCACCAGCTACTGAACTCCTTCCTTTCATTACAAATAACACCTGTTATTATTAACATGCTGCATCTTTAACTCTGAATATTTAAAACTTTAGCACATAATTCTATATTCTTTTATGGTTATTTAAAAAAAATCATTAAAGATATTAATAATAACGAGAATTATTGTCATACAGGGAATAGTAGTTCCGGATTGTTGTTAAAAAATATGTATGGTACAGAACTCGAAATGTGCTTGAGGAACAAAATATTGTAATTTTTGGTCGCGATAAGGAATATACATCGAAGCTATACTGGCCCTATAATAATTAAAAAAAAAATAGTAATACTTTTTGGTCTATTATTAACTTTGACGATATTAATAATAAACAAGCGGATAATTTTCAATTCTTTATTACTTAATAATAATTATAAAAGCATTACCTAAAATAGCATATTTATACCGATCCTTGTTCAGAATATGAGGAAATAATTATCTTTATCTTATGTGCTAATTATTTTATATTAAATAAACAAAGTGCAAGTTATATGCTAACGCGATTAATCAAGGAGGTGGCATCGTGAATTCATTTCTGCGTATATCCAAGATTCAATTCTTTCGTCAAGATTTGATATTTTGTTTAAAGTAATACGTTTGTTGTAAGTAAAATACAATTTAGGAACTTATACAAAAATATTTATGTTACATAGAAAAGATTAAATTTCTACGATATTCCGTGTATAAAAGATATGTTTTATTTTTATACATCTTTCAACGATCCAACAGGAATTGTCGTCATACATCATTGCAAACCGAGCTGCCTTCAATCGTTGGCACTGCAATTTACAGATAAAATAAAAAACTTTTTAAATTTCAACGATATTATATTATCACAAATGTGTGGTATAGAAATTTGTTTCTGCCATATTTGTCCATAACCAATTTAACATTTTTGAAGTTTTTTTTTACAACAAATAAATTATTTTATATTATTAGTTACTAATGCCTTACCCTGTGAGAAAATCAGCTAAATTGTTAACAAAATGATTATAAAGGTAGATGTAGAATACTGTTTAATTTATTTTGGGTTTTATCCAACATCTTTTTCTTACAGCGAATATACGTATTGATTGCTCGTTTACGCATTTTTTCCCATTCGTATAAATGTTGAAATATAGGACATGCATAATTTGGTGAACAATACTGAATAGCAAACATCAAAGCTGAATTAACTTTATGTTCCCATCGAACTTTAATGCACAATAGCAGCCAAAGAAACCTGAGAGACAGATACGTTTTACGTTAAACAGTTGTGAATCCATTATTCGAATGTATAGATACACATATTTACCGTATTTCAGCATTATGGTTTTCGAAACGGTAACGATACAAAATTAGTGCCAGTTTCTGTTCGGTCAAATTCTCATGAAAGTCATGTAAATAGTTTAAGAATATTATTTTCTCAACGTTAAAATCGAACTTTTTATCTCTTAAGGAATCAGGTTTAGTATGGCTTTTACAATTCCATTTGACCCAATCTTCTGTTAATTTGAAATACTTTGTTTCCCAAGCAGTCATTTCCGGCACGGTAGGTGGCAAAGGTATATCATGGAACCACGTGTTCCATGTAATATTACCTAATATCTGAAAGCAAAGCGGAAGTCATTATTTTTAGATGCAAAAAATCTGAATATTAGTGAAACTGTAGTTTGTATAAAAAAGATGTTACCTCCTTTTCGTCGGGAAAATATTGATACAAGTAGTTTATCCAATCTTGAGTGTTTATACTTTTGAATGCAAATTTGTGAAAATAAGACTTAAGAAACAGTTCGAATACTGAGGATCCCCCTAATATTTCCTCTAGATGATCTAAAAGCATACATCCCGTTTCGTAAGGTACATATTCAGTAGCTTTATGGGGCAATAAACACGTCAAATTGGGTAATAAGCACTTTAGCATGTGAGGATGCTCCATTCCTTGGATCTGTAATACAATTTCAGAAGATAATACAGTAAGAATGTAAGAATAGTGTGTGTGTGTGTGTGTGTGTGTTGTGTATACAATGTAAAATATTGTTATTTGGTAACATTATTTATTATTTCATTTCTATGATTTAATCAATGTTAATACCATACCATATTGTTCAAGTCATTTTGTTCTTTCCTCTCAAGAAAAGACTTGATGTCTTTAATCTGCATCAGTAATTTACTTTTAATTTTCCTGCTAATAAAAATGCTGAAACTCTTATTTAACCACAAATGCTCATAATTGGAACATGTAACATAATTTCCTGCCCAGCTCTGTGAGATGTTGCGAGCGAGTGAACTGATAGAAGTAAGATCTCCGCCAAGTAGAGTTGGTGAAATAAATATCACGCGTGGACATTCTATTTTCAAATGAGCGACATTTGGTGGAAGCACGCATATGTCGTACCTATCTACAGATATAATTTTGCATGTATTAACAAAAAAAATAACATTAAATAAAATAGTAGGATTTTGATAAAGCGCAAAGGTAAAATTTATTATATGTTTTTTAAATAAATTAGTATCAACGTATTTAGTTGTTATTTTACCCCAAGGATAAGGTCCACACAAACTCTTGGCAATCTCCAACATTCTTTCAATCGTATTAATGCCTGTATTAATAAGAAATGTATCGGGAGGCTCGTCAATAAATTTTTTCTCGATAAACATATTTGATTTTTCATTAAGATATCTTATCTGTAGTGAGCCCACAGCAATAATCACCGCATAAGATGGGACTGGATCTATTTGACGGAATTCATGTACCTCTAGCTCCGGTCCCACGCGGTCTACTGCTTGCAAAAGTGCAGACATAAGAACCGTAAAATGTTTTGGTACCAAAATCTATAATATGAAATATACGTCAATAAAAATTAAATATAGATATTTTTTTTTTTTTTACAAAAGTATTCCATTTTTTCGTGAAATTTTACTACTTTTGTCAATAGTATCAATAATGATCAATTGTACATAATTGTTTTTATATAAATGAATAAATGCGGAATACATACAAATACTACTCTGATTAAATTCTTACCTTGGCAGTGTATGTAAATTTGACGGATGGGGTGTCCTGGCAGGGAAACCATGCTCTAGCGTATATTAGCTGAAAAAAATACAGATTTTTATATAATCTGTCTTAATGTGGAAAAATGTCTTTGTTTACCTTGTTGTTAGACAGTAAAAAGGGATGTGTACCATTGGCAGTTTGTGCAGATGTTAACCAATATAATGCAGGAGAATCTGAGCTTGTTTTATATTCAATTTCGATTTTACATCTGAAAACATAGTGTTATTGGTATACTCAAACTTTACAGCAATAAATATTAGTAATTGTATTTCTCTAAAAATATATTATATAATTACTCATTGTTAGAATTGCAAGTAGTATCGACAGTTGGTGGTAACTCTACATAAAATGAGCTTCCAAAAATGTGATGGATTCCAACATGATAATCTAAATCTGTTCCATCAATATTTGTGACACGTGATATAAAAAGTCCATAGTTATCTAAGAACTAATTATTCGATATTACATTTTAATAATTAATTAAAGTTTTTTCCTGATATGAAATGACATTTCTACTCACTATCCCACTAATTGAAGATTTCTTTTTTATAGTCAATATCGCTTTTCCTTTAAGAACTTTTTGCTTAAAATCCACAATCAGTTCTAAATGGATATCGGTTACACGTGCTTGTTCTAATATCAAAAAGATACGGAAATTAAAACATATAAGTAATAGGTATAAATATGTAAGTATAATGAGTAAGTACATGACAAAGTGTGATATGTTGTACGGAAAATTATTACAGTAATTGCATGTGATATTATCTGTAAAATATAAACAATTGTCAGACTTCTATACTAAATACAATATATTTTATAAGTTTAAGAAGATTTATAAAATTTATAGTTGTCAGTTTATTAAAACTGTAAGAGTATATTTTAATTTTGAAAACTATAAATTATTAAATTATTAAACAGCTAAGGATATGTGGAGCAGTTTTGTCTTTAAACATCTAATAATTTCCGCAAATATTCCTTATTCTGTTTCTTTAAAAAGAAAATAAATAATAATCTTAAAGTTTTATATATTATGTTTATGTAGCTAATTAGATAATTGAAATACCTGGTTTCGCAAAAGTGTGTGGATCTTCAGTAGATCCTGAGAAATCCATTTTAGTAGATCTTAAAATATCCATTGTAAGATAAGTCACGTTATACAGCCTCTCCAAGTAACTTGCTCCAAGTAATCTTATGTCTGAACTGGTCGCACAAAGTTACAGTGCTACTTTTAACTTCTATCCGTTTTACTTTGTTTGATAATATATTTTGTTTATTATAATGTCGGACAGTCAAAGTGACTGTGGTTCTTCGCGCATAAACGTATTTGAATTAAATAAGTTTAGTAAATTACATAGTTGTACATTGCAAAACTCGTTTATTTTAATTACATGTAAAGATTATACTTTACAAGTAAATATAGTTTTAAAAAATCTTCTTTTTCGTCTGATTACTTGAACGGCACTTCTGAACGCAACGCAACGCAACGCGACGAACTGTTACGATTCGCATTTATTTAAATCATTGACGATGTGACATAGAAAACTAACGCCCTGGATAGTACCCAAGGTACTAAGTTTTTACTTGAGCCTCCAATTTATGTGCGAAAATTTGTACTAAAGTGAAAATTAACAAGTCATGTAATCAATCAAATTAGGTAATTAGGTATTACCACGTCCTGTTCGTATTAGAGGGGGAAGGGGTTATAATTTGCGAAAAGTCACGTGATATCATGGTGTTCTAAAAAATAAGCACTGGGCTTTAAAAAATATACTAAAATTGATTGAAAAACTATATTTAGTTATCGTCAAATTGATATCATGTTATAAAATTCATTTTTATTATGTAAGGACACACATATAGAATGATATTGGATGCATGAAAATTCCACAAAAAGAATTTATACTTTTCGTGAAGAATTCCCGTTTATTAAGAATAAATATCATTAAAAAATTGTTTGTTTAAAAATCTATAGTTTTAGTAGTGATAATATATATATATATATATATATATATATATATATATATATATATATAATAGTTGATAAATTAATTAAATGTACTATTAATCAAATACAAATTAACTTATTACATTAAAACTGATCGTGTTGCATTGAACGAGTCACGATACCCTAATAATTGCAATGTACTTTTAATATAGCAAATTGCTCGACGGATAAGCAGACCCAAGGACAACTTTGATCACTTGCGGTCAATAAACTTCTAACACTTTGTAAAATAAATTTTAATCTAACATGAATCTACTTTTGAATTAAAAATTATACGATATGCGCTGCGTTCCGTGAATTCGGTTTGACGATGGTAGGTATGTGATAGCAGGTGAGCGCGGGAAGGACAATAACGTATAACACGTCGTATTACAATAGCACACGTTTATTAGCACCTCGTGCTCAGTACGTGATACGAGGCACGACTGACTTGATACAGAGAGGAAAACCCGCGCATAAAGATCTATCCAGACAAACTTGCATAAGTGCATAACCATATGCATAAAGAAACGGATTGGTCTATTCCCTTATGCATATGGACCAATCAATTTTCTTATGCTTATGTTTACGGGCTTATGCAAGTTTGTGTGGATATAGCTTTATAGATGTGGCGCCTCTAGTGAGGTACCCCCCTGGTGGGCCAGAGAGTGACACCCCTAGTATCCAATCATGGATCGCCAATGGAAACCGGGCATGCGGATTGCCAACAGTATGTTATCAAGAACTTGAAATTTCTAATTGATTATATAGCGATCGAGTTACAGTCAGACGGCCGAAAAAATTAAAGCGCTTAGTAAGATTAATTCTAATTGAATACCGCGAGTGATTAACGATTGCACGAAATATTCGTAATGAAATAATATGTAATTTCCATTTAAGATCTAATAAATAAGAGTTGCGTGAAATATCGCTTCGCGAAACAGATATAATTACTGATAGTTAATTAATTAATTGAGTAGACTAATGCCAGTGGCTAATGGTCTACACAAACTGATCATGTTTTCTTGTACAATAAAATGATGAATAACACGCTGCATGAATGTTCGAGTTGTGTCACTCGGCTGAGTGCAATGCACTTTTGATACAACAGTTTATCCACGGTCTTAAATTCGATTTCGTATTACGTACACGGTTGTTCAGTTTTATTCCGTGCTACATCCATAATGTGTTATTGCGTCATAATGCATTGTAAAAATAATTTTAAAATTGAAATTATTTAATAGCGTGGAAGAAATAAATAGAATCAATAAGAGATCGAGCGTGCATAGTTTTAAGTCCTTTACATGTAATGTCCAAGATACAGATATGGAGACTATATAAAATTATAAAGAAGTGGAATATTTTTTATTGATACTTTTGTAAATGTTACACATATTTTCTTTCCAAAAGTAACAACGGCGCGTTGGCTTTGATACCTCTGTAGTGGTGTATCGTTACGTGTTGGTAAGTATAAGATCGTCGCGCTATTCGTGCTATTATTCACAAGCTACTGTTGTATTAGCGTTTAGTGCCACCGACATTCCGCTTACCAACATGTTATTTTCCTTCGGTAATTTCTTGTCATTAATTTCGTGAATGTCAGTCCGCTTGATAACTTAATATTTATGATTGACGTTTGTATACATGTGTCAAAACCATAGCAGTTTGTTCAAGCAGGCACTTATACATATATAGTGCGAATTATTCATTAGAAGCGAGGACTGAAACAATAGAAATATAAGTAAAAAATTAGAAATTATTATTCCGCAGTGATATCTACGGTCACGAATAATCTCTCAAATTTATAAAATTATTAAACAAATGTGACATTATACGTAGCAACGAGTACAAGGAAAAGTACTATTTTTTTAAAACAAATTATGCAATACAGGGTGTTTGAAAAAAGGGTAAAATATATTAAGGGGATTTAGTATGCCCAAAAACAAATCGAAAAGTCTTAATAAACATGGTTTCTTAAATGAATTGTTTGCGAATAAATCCGGGTTGGCGAATGCGGTCTTAGTTAACAAGTTCGGTTGCACTAATTCGGTTTTGAATAATTATGGTTTTAAGTCAAGTTTTCGATTGATCTATTTTTTATGTTTTTTTCATGTAAAATGTTTTAAATATAATATACTTGCGAAGAAAGTTATTTTTGGATTTAATTACATGTTATAATTTATTTAATTGCATAATTTAATTTTGACAAATTAAGCCACAAAACGAATAATTTTACGCAGATGTTTTTAGCAATTAAAATCTAGCGAACGACAATTATTAATAGGATTATCAGAATTCGTGAGGGATAAGCTGTTGCGAAAGTGACAATAAAAATTGATTTGCTATATTACAAATTAAAAAGTAGACACACCCACACCACACTATATTTATATTACTAAACACTACAGACGCGCGCTTCACGCGCGCTATTTAGCTTTAACATTATGCTATTACTATTACACTATTAACCCTTGATACACACAACTGTCAAAATATACAATGACAGCTGCAAATGAAGTAAGCGCAGCAAGAGAACCAATCGGCATCGCGGAAAAGTGGCAACAATACCTACGACATGCCCTTTTTAGAAAAGGACTTACACAAAATTACACATTACTACAATTAGTTATATAATATTTTGTATATAAAAGTATATTGTTTATTTTCACAAATTTAGACATGTTTTGACGATCCAATTGAGAGTTGTCGTCATGCATCACTGCGAGCCAAACTACATTCAAGCGTGGGCTCTGCAAATCACAAACAAAATAAATAACTTGTCCTAAATTATCTTATATAAAATGCTTTGTATAGAAACTTGTTTCCATCATATTTATTCCATAAAAAATTCAACTTTTTAAAACTTTTTTTCTGTATAATAAATAAATTATTTTATATTACAGTTATTGATGACTTATTTCGTCACAAAGAAACTTAAGTTAATTGTTAATTAGGTAATTATCAATTTAGATGTAGAATTTTGTTCAATTTTTTCTGGGTTTCATACAACATCTTCTCTTTATTTTTCTTGTACGTTTCGATCGCTGCTGAACGCATTTCACTCCACTCGTACAAAGATTCAAATATAGGACATGCATAATTTGGCGAATAATTCTGAATGGCAAAGTCCGAAACTGAGCTAATTTTATATGCCCATCGAACTTTAATGCATAATAGCAGGAAAAGAAACCTGTAAAATACGTGTATTTTAAGCAAATGTAAAATCAATCTGAATAAAGATATTACATATTTACCGTGTTTCAGCATTACGATTTTCTAAATTGTAATATTTTGAAATTAATCCCAAGTTCTGCTCGGTCAAATTCTTATGAAAATCATGTAGGTAGTTTAAGAATATTATTCTCTCAACGTCATTATTGAATTTTCTACCTTTTTAAAGCACCAGGTATAGTATGACTTTTATGGTCATATTTGACCCACTCTTCTGCCAACTTGAAATATTTTGTTTCCCAAGCAGTCATTTCCGGGACGATAGGTGGCGAAGGGATATGATGGAACCATGCGTTCCATTTAACATTACCTAATATCTGAAAGCAACATTGAAGTTATAATTTTTAAATGCTAAAAATATGAATACTAGTGAAAGTGTAATTTGTATGTATAAAAGAGATGTTACCTCCTTTTCGTCCAGAAAATATTGATACAAATAGTTTATTTAATCTTGTTTATACTCTTTAATGCAAATTTATTAAAATAAGATTTAAGAAACTGTTCGAATGAAGCTCCTAACACTTTCTCTAGATGAAATAAGAGTGTATATCCTAACTCGTAAGGCACATTTTCAATAGCTTCATGGGGCAATAAACCTGTAAAATTGGGTAACAAGCACTTTAGCGAGTCAGCATTTTTTAGTTTTTGGATCTATAATATAATTTGAGAAGAATGCGGTAAAAATGCAAGAATTTGCGTGTATACAATGTTGTTATTGGTAACATTATTTATTACTCCATTTCTTTGACCTAATCAAAGTTAATACCTTACCATATTTCTCAGGTTATTTAATTCTTCGCTTTTAAAAAGAGACTTTATGTTTTCAATCTGCGTAAATGTATGTAACTTTTATTGCGATTCCCCGTAGGGTTTACAATCTACTACAAAATTGGCGTT